CCCTCTGCTTTGCCCCACACAGATGAGATCATGCAGAAGTCTTGTGACCATAAGTTGTTTTTCCCCAACACCATATATTAAAGGGGCAGGGACTCACTGGGATACTTTGTCAACTAGTTTCATTGTAGATATTGTCTGTGTGTCTTTGGTTTTGCTATCCTAGTTGTTGAGCATGGTTTTATTTGGAAGAAGGAACTTTTAAGTATTAAACCAACTTTGTGTTCCTCAAATAAACCAAACTTGGTTGTAATGTATCCTTTTCATGTATCACCAAATTTATTTTGCTACTATTTTGTTAGGAAATCTGTAAAAATATTCATGAAATACATTGGTTCATATTTTTACTTGAAATTCCCTCATTGGGTTTTGCTATAAAAGTTACCGGTATGCTGTGCAAATGACAAACATCCATTCTTTTTAGAGAATGAGTTTATGTTAAATTGATATTTATTTCTTAAAAGTTAGGTAGAACTTACTGGCGAAGCCATCTGAACCTAGATGTCGTTGGTAAAATGTTTTAATTACAGATTTAATTTCTTTAATAGGCAAAGGACTATACAGACGTTCCATTCCTTGTTTCAGCTCTCATTTTCACTTGATCTTTAAAATCATTAAAATAAAGTTGTTCAAAATCTGCTCTTATCATTTTAATCTTTGTAAAATCCATAGTTATGTCCCCCTTCTATCTTTCATATTGGTAATTTAGCTTTCTGTTTTTTGTTTTCTGATCAGTTTTGCCAGCATTAATAATTTTATTAATTGTCTCCAGAATGAATGTTTGGTTCTTTAGCGTTTTTCTAATATAAATATGTGTGTGTATTTATATTTATATTTTATATACTTCTGCTCTGATTTCCTTTCTTCCACTTTGCTCTTTCTCTAGCTTCTTATGATGAATACTTCCATAAAAAATTTAGCCTTACTTCTTTTTAAATATATACTATACATTATATATATATCATAAATTGAGCAATATAGCTTAAACGCTATACATTTTCCTCTGATTATGACTTTGTCTGCAATCCACACATATTGTGTGTTTATTAACATTCAGAAAAATATATCTTCTAATTTCCACTGTGATATGTTCTCTGACTGAGAGGTTATTGAGAAGTATATTACTTAATTTCCTAATATTTTGAAAATTTTAATCTATCATTTTCTTATGACTTCTTGAATATTTCTGTTGTGGTCAGAAGAAATAATCCATATGCTTTCAGTCCTTTGATATTTGTTGAGATCTGGTTTCTAGACCAGTATTTGATAAACATTCCACATATACTTGAAAAGGGTGTTTATTCTATAGTTGTATGCTTTTGTCAAAATTTGCTTTATGTATGTTTTTACTCCTTTATCATTATGAAATATTCCTCTTTATCACCAATGTTTCTTGTTTTAGTCTATTTTATCTATTATTAATAAAGCTACACAAACCTTTATGTGTGATGTCTCACATGACATTGTCTTTTTGAAGAGGCTAGGGCAGTTACCTTATATAATGTCCCACCTACAGGATATGTTTCCTCTTAGTTTCATTTCATTTGTTCCTCTATCCTGTTCACTTTCTGGAAACCAGAAGTGAGATCTAGCTAAATTAGATTTAGGGTAAACATATTTAGCAACAATACTTCATAGGCAATGCTTTGAATTTTATATTTTGCCATGTCAGGGGCATAATTCTAATCTTATAATATTGTTGTATGGATTAGATGAGAGGACACATGTCAAGTGCCTAAGATGCTATCTGACACATAATAGGTAAATACTAGAGTTTCTCAACCTAAGCACTATTAACATTTTGGACTGGATAATTCTTTGTTGTGAGTGCTGTTCTGTACATTGTAGGATGTTGAGTGACATTCCTGACCTCTACCCATTGCATGCCAGTGCATCCTCCAGTCGTGACAACCAAAACTACCTTCAGATATTGTCAAGTGTCCTCTAGGGGGAGAAAATGGTCCCAATTCAGAACCACTGGTATAAAACAAAAACCCAGTTATTTGGTAACTATTTCACAAGCACTTACTATCAGGCCTTCTGCAAGGCTTTGAGCTTAAGAGCTAACTGGAACATGATTGCTGATCTCAGCATACTCATCATTTTGGGGAAAGGCAATCAGGCAAATAGGGAATTGGAATATGGTGTGATTAAGTGTTGTGACACAGACAACCATGTGCTATGACAGGAGGGGCACCTAACTCAGTCTGGAGCAGGGATCCTTTCATGGAGGAACAGAGAAATCTGAGTTGAGATCTGCAGGGCAGAATTCTTTCCACTTTCCCATTAAGGCTCGAGAGGTCAAACCAATAATGACTGTTCTGAGAGAAAATAAACACTCCAGAAATGGTCAGAACCTGTATAATTTCTAGCCTGTATATCAGAATATGACCAATAACGATTAATCTACTACCAAATACAGAGACACAGATAAGGTAAGTCAGGAGTGAGAGCTAGAGATGGAACGGTCAGCCATCTACTTCTTCAGTTGTTAATAGAAAATACACTGTAGTTTCCCATTTTATAGCTCTCAGTCTGCTTGGGGAAGGACTCAATAACTAAAACCAGATTAACTGTAGTCAGGATAATGTCACACACACCCTCCCTGTCGCTGACACTGAAAGGCCTTAAATGAAGGTGCCTACCCAGCTGTGCATACTAGTCAGCTGCCTATACTTCCATTCTTCTTCCTAAGCAAGCACTTCTTCAGCTTGCTTACGATATTAATTCAGAGGCTGGTTAGCTGTTCACTAAGCCGGTTTCCTTTCATTCCTGGGCATACCGCTTGACCGCCTCCCCGAGCCTCCCCAGCAGTTTCCTGCAACTGAGCTCTAGTCCAAGGTATGTAAGCATGGAAGTGACATGTACTCCTTCCAGGTCTCGCCCATGAAAACCCCCCACATGCAATCCTTCATGCTGTTCTCCCTTCCCCTGGCTTGATGCAGACAAACATTGGTACCTCGGAAGTCAACATGTAAAGACGACAGAGCTGAGGAGTGGAGAGAACCCATGTCCTGAGTCTCCCTTGAAGGACAGAGGCCCAGCAACCAGGGCTTCCCTTACTGGGTTTGATATGAATAAGAAGTAGACTTCCACAGGGTTAAGCCAGGAGATTTGAGGGTTTATCTAGTACAGCAGCTAGCCTTACCCCCCTAATAAGCCAAAGTAGAGAAACAGCCAGGTTGACCACGCAAGTGTAATACCCTTAGTCCCCCAGACATGCATGGCATTTCAGCCATGTTTGCCAAGCCAAAGGAAAGTGCCTTTGCCAGAACATTTCACTGATACTCCCTGGAGCTAAATGGGTATGTGAGAGGCTATTTGCAGAGCCATTGCTAAAGATCGCACTTCATCTAAGGTCTGCAGCACAGAAGTATGAAAGGATGTGGGCTTTGATGTCGGACAGACGTGGCTTTGAATCTTGGCTCCCCCCTGACAATTCTTTGGCTTCATCTCCCTGGGCCTCTATTTCTTCATCTGCAAAATGAGGGTAATAACACCTCACAGGAATTTTGTGGGGATAAAATAACAGCATTAAAATACTGGCACAGTTCCTAGCATGTTCAAGGTACTCAACTAGTTCCCTCCCAACAACCATGAAGTTAATGAATTGGAAATTTATTTACTCTTCTAATCAGAAGATTAAGTAAGAGGTGGCCTTTTCACTAAGAACTGTATATTTATCCTTCCACAGAAATGTTGAATATTTCATACAAAGCAACCTGGACAAACAAATACTTGTATTTCTCCCCTTGGTCTAAATAAGGAGAATTTAAGTTTTAAGAAACTTAAAAATAAAAGCTTAAAAAGAGGCAACATTCATTATTGTTGTAATTACTTTTCCCTATAAGAAATAAAAGTCATATTTTTAAACAACAATAGTGGAACGTATGCTGATCTTTGACCCAGCAGGAGAGCAATAAATGAAGACAGATCACACAACAGAAGGAAGAAGAAGGGTTTGTCTGGGTCACACCCCTTTCCATTCCCATGTTGCCACAGATGGAATGACCACAGAGCTGGCAAGTTGGCGGCAGGCGCCCCACCTAACCCACACCCATCTCTGCAGATGCGATCTGACCACAGAACAGGTAAAATGGAACATCTTCTAGGTTATCTGGTGGAGCAGCGAGTGAGCTGTTGCAGCCCCCCCTGTACCCGACTGCAGGAGAAGGAGGCTGAAATGTCAGGTCAACCAGGATGTGGAGGCAAGCATGGAAGAGAGCCGCCCACCAGCATGACTAAGGGCTCTTGGGGACAATCCCCGCTCAGAGGGCAGAAAGCAAATATCCAGATGTTATGAGCTGCCAGATGTGATTAACTGAAGAAAGGTGAAGCTGCCCACTTAACCATCTGAGCAGCCTCCCTCATCAAAGTGACCTAAGAGTTTTCTGCAAAAGCATTAATCAACAAAACAAATGGAGGCCCCATCCATCTCCCATCCTGCCCCTTTTCCTCTCTCTCTCCCTCTGCCAGAGTCAGAACAGCAGCCTATTTTTAACCCACTGGCAATGTATTCTCTCGTGGAAACGTGTGGGTTTCCTGACACAGGCTGATGCTCGCTCAGAGGAGATACATGCACTCCGAAAGCTTCGCCCACTCGCTGTCCTTCCGCTCCCATGAGAATGGGGCAGAGGGGGCGCAGCGAGGAGGAGGGGGCCCGAGGAGGGAGGCTTCCTCCGAGGCTGGTTCCCATGACCGGAACTCACAATGGGCCGCCTTCCTCCGCGAAAGGGAAGGCTGGGGCTTGGGTCAGAAGCAGCCCTACACACAGATACCAGGAGAGAGCTCAAGGCTGGGAAGAAGACAAACCATCCACGGATGTCAATTCTAGCATCTTTTAAAGAAAAAGTGCTTACATGAATCTCAGTGTCTCTGTAACATGAATCCAATGTGCTTTAAATATAATTGCAAATATTTTATTAAACATCGGAGACTTTTTTTTTAGCCAATTTACAAAAAAATAAATAAGACTTCAAGAAAGGAGGTTGTGCTGTACTTACAATCGCTCCAGCTGCTTCAGATCCTGGAAGGCGCCTCTCTCGATGACGCTGACCTGGTTGTCTTCCAGATGCCTGGAACCACAGAGACAGTGATGGTCAAGGACCGGAGGGGCCCAGGGATACTCACGCTAGACTTCAGGCCATGCAGACATGGTCCCTCAGCCCCCATGACCCTCGGATGCTCCCCCCAATCTCCCCCCACCCCCCACCCCCAAAATCAGTGTGTTGGGATGAGAAAACTCACATCCCAGCTTGGTGTCACGGTAACCAGGGCTTCGCCGCCTGCACACTTATACCTGACAGATTGGTTTCCATGCCTCTATTTTAAGAATGTTCTCAGCAAATGTCCCCCCAAGCACTGCAGGATGTTTCACAGAAAAGGAAGAGGTAAAAGCTGCTTCTTATAAAAACCACACATATAATGAGCATCTCTTCCCTTGGAGCGCCCTTCTCTGCTCACTCCGTGTCTGGGTCACCTCGTAGAAGGGGTGAAGCTATTGTTGGACAGCCGCCTGTGACGAAGAAAAACCAGCCTGGTGCCAGGAGCTCCCTTGCCCAGGGCCTGGCTGTTCCCAACATGAGGCTGATGGTCACAAAAGATGGGGCTTCCCAGCCACGGGCTCCACTGACCCCCAAAGTCTTCCATGCAGGTGCTGAAAAACCTAAACACTCTGCCTAAGCGAATTTGGTCCATGCATGTGGCATATCCTAAGAATTGAGCATACAGTGAAACATCTGTTTCCCTAACTTAAAAAAAAAAAAGGCAACATAAACCGGATTAGCTGGATGTTGGGAAGGGGAGCAATGAAACTGTAGTTTCCATCTGGGGCTGACCCTGGTGGCTGAATGGGACTTAGTAGGGGTGCAGTTCTGACTGAAGGATGCTTCTTTGGAGGGTGGAGTTTAGGAAGGGCTGAGAGTTCCTCTGGATTAGACAGAAGAGAGGTGCCCGAAGCGCCTGAAGGAAAGGCGGAAGGAAGGCAAAGGGCCTTGGAGGCTTAGCTCTCCATTCAGGGTTCCTTCCAGCACGGCCCTCTGCCTCTCAGTCGGTTCATAACCCCCTGCACTTCTTAGGCTTAACACTTGGGCCTCTGTGTGTATTTTTAAGTCTAGCCCCACCCCCACCGCCTCCCCCCCCCCATGCCTAAGGACCAAGAAAGTAAGACCTCCTGTTCATCTTCATACTCCCAGCTTTAGCACAGTCACCAGTACACTTAATAACAGCTTACTGAATGGATGAAAAACTAAAGAGGACTTTGGGCCATGGCACATACTGAGTTTATATCAAGGAAAAGGCTAGTCTAGAAGACAACGTAGTTTCTGACTTGGACGGTCAGAGTGATGGGCCACTTTGTTTGGGCTCAATGATATTTTGTGCTTTTGTGAATTTGTTCCAAACAATTAAAAATCAGGATCTCTCTCCCTCTCCCTCCCTATCTCTATCTGTATCTGTATCTCTATCTCTATCTCTCTCTCTCTCACCAAAAGAAATTCCTTTGAAAAAAATCAGCTCTCCCATTTCTAAATATCCACAATGGCCAGAACTGAGTATGGGTCAGGGAGGGCACGTGGGCTCCCCAGTCCACCCCTGTCCTCATCCCCTCTGACTCACACGCTTATGTTACTTCTGGCCCCTGTAGGTTGGTTTCTTAAGAGTCTCCTCAGTTTACATATATGAACACCATGGAGCAGAGAGGTTAAGAGACTTGTAAATGATTTCAAGGAGAAATCATTTGTATAAAGTCACACTGCTAGCTAGGGTGGACTCTCTAACTTCCAGTCTAGTGCTTGCCAGATATGGTTTAGAACCACTTTCCTGCCTTCTTACTAGCTGATGATGTGACTAGTCAACCTCTCTAAGACTCAGTCTTCTCATTGGTAAAATAGAAAAAAATAAAACATCTCATAAGTCCTCGTGAAAATAAAAACGAAGTACGAGGTCTGACAATTAAGTTTGCGAACTTGCTGCAATGCTGTTGCTAACCTTTTTTGATATCAGAGGGATTATTCATTATGAATTTGTACCAACTGGACAAACAGTGAACCAAGTGCACTATCTGGAAGTGCTGAAAAGGCTGCATGAAAAAGTTAGGCGACCTGAACTTTTCGCCAACAATTCATGGCTCTTGCATCACAACAATGCACCAGTTCACACAGCGCTGTCTGTGAGGGAGTTTTTAGCCAGGAAACAAATAACTGTATTGGAACACCCTCCCTACTCACCTGATCTGACCCCCAAAGACTTCTTCCTTTACCCTAAGATAAAGGAAATACTGAAAGGAAGACATTTTGATGACATTCAGGACATCAAGGGTAATTTGACAATAGCTCTGATGGCCATTCCAGAAAAAGAGTTCCAAAATTGCTTTGAAGGGTGGACTAGGTGCTGGTGTCCGTGCATAGTTTCCCAAGGGGGAGTACTTCAAAGGTGACCATAGTGATATTCAGCAATGAGGTATGTAGCACTTTTTCTAGGATGAGTTCGCGAACTTAATTGTCCGACCTCATATGTAAATTATCTCGCCTAGGATCTGGTGTACAATAAATGTTCTTCTCCTTCCCTCCTCTTCATTTTCCATCCCGCCATATGGCCAGGAGGGCCTTGGAATGCTAATAGACTCACACTAGCACATCTTGCTAAACAGGGATTCAGTTCAATATTAGTGACGGGTGGTTTGTTCAGCTGGGATTTTACTATCAATCAATCCATCACAGAGCTTGTTGTCATCACGTCCCAATTATAACAAGGAGCAACACTAGGGTGGCTGTGTCGCATCCCCTCTGGGTTTCTGAAGGAGTCAAACTCCAACCTCCTATGATGAATCTCTTAGTTCTGCACTAATTAATCTAACACTACTAGCTTCTTTCAGAAAAGGAAGTAGAAGAAATGCAAATATATCTGTATAGCTATCTGCCCCTTTCCTGCTTTGCTCAGGCCCCAGGAGGCTAACTTTTAGCAGACTCTGGCTTCCTGTTGGGTTTAGCCGATGGGAGTTACCAGCAGGTGATCAAAGGAAGATCACCTGACAGCACAGGTCCTGTCAGGTAGTCCCTACCTTTGCTAGGGTAGGGACTTGCCTCTCACTGCTCCTCGAGGGTGTGGGCCTGTTGTCACTAGCTTGAGGGAGCTTCACCATCTCGTCTTGGTTTCTCTTAGCCTTGCCTATACTTCTGAAAATAAGTCTTTATTTAGCTCTCCTCATTTGTCCTGTGTGAGTATCATCTCTTTCCTTCGGGATCCTGGCTGATATGGTATCTAGGGCCCCTTCCATATTTCTTCCTTGATCTATAGAGTCCAGCCTGGCACATCAAGGCTCAACAAATAATGAATATGTGATGAATCAATGAGCTGTGAATCTCCCACCCAGACTGCTAGGTGGAGATGCAGTTCAGGAGCTGGTGCTAACGCTGAGGATATTGCTCTCCTGTTACTGACCAGCTGTAGGCAGTCAGGGGATCCAGAGAAGGCTGGCCTGTCCCTGGCTTGAGTCTGTTCTGAGTCAGAAGGACACAGACTGTGTTCATTTCAGCTCTTTTGGCACTGTTATTTTTTTAGTTTTAACACTGGATCAGAATCGGAAGTCGCTCCCATGTGATGATGGCTGGGTGGAGTTTAGCTCTTTTATTAACCCCATTTGGGATAAAGCTGCTTCCCACATTGTGGGCACAAGAGTCCTTGCAACAGACTACCATGAAGGGAACCAAGTGACAGCACCGGAAGAGACCTTTTCCTACGCCTACCCATGGGAGAAAGAATTCTCATGGGCAGCTCTTATGTCTTCTTGCTGAATGCACTTTATTTGGGGAAAACTGTCTTTGACTGAGGCCGAAGCTTCCCAACCTCCATTTTATCTGCGTTCGTCCATTCGCCAGCACCATATTAATGGTTCTGCTTGGAAATGGGTGGCAAGCTCAAATCATTCAAGACTATCAAGTTTTTTCTGGCTTCACTATAAACTGTAAATAAGAAACAGATACAGGGAATGTGCCAAGGTTCACACCTTTTGTGACAGCTTTTCAGAAAAGATAGTTGTCTAGGTTACTCAGCTAAAAAGAATAGATTGAGGGGTGCTATGGTTTATATGTCTGGGTATTTTCCTGATGTTTGTTAGAAAGCATTTCAGCAATCCCACCTAACCGATGCTTTCACAGTAAAAAAGGGCCACTTGAATGGGGTTGTCTTTGAGCTGATAAGGAAGATAATGAAACCCAGTATATTAATAGAGTCTATGAAGTGGGGAAAGGGAGAGGCTTGGGCACTGCTCATCAAAATGAGAAGAATGTCCCAATTAACTGAAAACATCAACTGCAGTCAAAGGAATGCTGTAGACCATCCAGAGGATATTAATACAATCTTTTGTGATGATTTTAAACTTTCTATTTGCAGAGAACAGATATGGAAATTGGAATTTTTATTAGTCTTTCTGAAGTAATGGTAAAATCAAAGGATTATTTTTTACTTTGCTAGAAAATGAAGCATTAGGTGAAATTTCTGACTTGTATGAAAGGAAATCTCTCACAGAGGCAGGGGTCAGAAATGGGGAAAAACTATAGAGAAGTTAATGTCTGTTCCTTAAGCTGGCAAATGACCTGGAATTAACTGCTTATTGCCTATATTTCCTCAATAAAAATCACTCTAAGATTGAGCCACAGAATTCCCCCATTCTTACCCCAATCTCACTTCTGATCCACACACACTTGTCAAAGCTGCCAGTCATTTGACAGACATATAACTGCTTAGAATCAAAGAAAGATTTGGCAGAAGGTGGGGTCTACCCTCCGAGGATGGAGAGAGGAGAATATACTGGCCAAAGACTGGGGACCACATCGTGGGGACAGCGTGTCCTAGCGAGGGCCCAGTGTGCTCAGGTCCCAGTGCACTCAGACAGACTCAGGTAAGCCACCTGTACATCAGTGCCGCATTTACGAAGTAGATAGACAATTACCTTCCTGGTTTTTTCAACTTCCTCTAATGCAAACAAATAGCGTCACTGCATGGAGGCTGGAGAGCACACATCCCGGGCTCTGACTCCTCCCGTTTTAGTCACGTGTTATATGGAGCGGAGACCACT